GTTAATATTAATGGTGTGCGAAGTTTCTTAGGCCATGCAGGTTTCTACTGGAGATTCATCAAAGATTTCTCAAAAATTGCTAAGCCTCTTAGCCAGCTGTTGATGAAGGATCAAGACTTCCTCTTTGATGAAGCTTGCCTTAATGCATTCAATGTGTTGAAGGAAAAGCTTACCACGACGCTTGTCGTGACAGTGCTAGACTGGAGTCTTCCGTTTGAACTCATGTGTGATGCGAGCGCACATGCCATGGGTGCAGTACTTGGTCAGCGTAAGAATAAAATGTTGCATGTCATTTACTATGCTAGCAAGGTTTTTAATGAGGCACAATTTAATTATGCCACTACTGAAAAAGAGATGTTAGTCGTAGTTTATGCATTAGATAAATTTAGATCTTATTTGATAGGTTCTAAAGTTATCGTTTTTACTGACCATGCTGCTATTAAGTATTTGATGACCAAGCAGGATGCAAAGCCACGTTTTGCTGAGGTGGATGCTCTTGTTTCAAGAGTTTGACTTGGAAATCAAAGACAAAGCTGGAGTGGAGAATAAAGTTGTTGATCACTTGTCTAGGATTCAGGACAAGAAATTACAAGAAGGACCTGAAATGGAGGTCAATGAGTCCTTTCCTGATGAGCAAGTGATGGCCATAATAATGCATCCATGGTTTGCAAACTTTGCAAACTACAAAGCTGCTGGTTTGATTCCTGATGATCTTACTTGGCAGCAGAAAAAGAAATTCCTCCATGATACACGGAGGTACCACTGGGATAATCCATTCTTATATTTTCAAAGTGCTGACGGTATTATTCATAGGTGTGTGGCTGAATTTGAGATGCCGGATATTCTGTGGCATTGCCATGCATCTGACTATGGAGGTCATTTTGGAGCCAACCGGACTGCACAAAAAGTACTGCAGAGTGGCTATTACTGGCCTACAATCTTCAAAGATGCACGAGACTTCGTGGAAAAGTGTGACAAGTGCCAGCAGACGGGAAACATTTCTCGTAAAGATGAGATGCCCCTCAACTGCATATTGGAAGTGGAGCTTTTTGATGTTTGGGTGATTGATTTCATGGGACCATTCCCTACGTCATACTCCAACCAGTACATATTGGTTGCAGTGGATTACGTGTCAAAGTGGGTAGAAGCAGTTGCCTTTCCCACAAACGATGCAAAGGTGGTCGTATCTTTCTTACGGAAGAACATTTTCACCCGCTTTGGAGTTCCTCGTGCAATCATCAGCGATTGAGGCACACACTTCTGCAATAAGCAGTTTGACAGTTTGCTTGCAAAGTATGGTGTCACTCACAAGGTGGCTACACCATACCATCCTTAGACCAGCGGACAAGTTGAAATTTCAAATAGAGAGCTGAAGAGGATCCTGGAAAAGACTGTCAGTAACTCAAGGAAAGATTGGTCCAAGAAGTTGGATAATGCACTCTGGGCATACAGGACCGCCTTCAAAACACCGATAGGTTTGTCACTCTCCCAACTGGTGTACAGTAAGTCTTGCCATCTTCTTGTGGAGTCAGAACATAGAGATATGTGGGCCATTAAATTTCTGAATTTTGAACCATCCAAGGCTAATGATAAGAGATTAATGCAATTGAATGAGCTTGATGAGTTCAGATTAGCAGCATATGAGAATGCCAGAATTTACAAAGAGAAGACAAAGAAGTGGCATGACAAAAAGATCCAGCAAAAAGAGTTCGAGCAAGGACAACAGGTATTACTATACAACTCTCGACTGAGGTTGTTTCCAGGTAAGCTCAAATCTCTCTGGACTGGTCCTTTTGTTATAAACAAAGTTTTTCCATATGGTACAGTTAAAATCTCCCCTAAATGAGGACAAACCTTTTAAGGTCAATGGGAATAGATTGAAAATCTATCATAGAGAACAGATGAATCGGGATAAAATTTCTGTCTCTTTAGCTTCACCCGAAGCTTAGATTATTCCAGTCAGGCTCGTGACGTTAAACAAACGCTTGCTGGGAGGCAACCCAGTAGAATTTTTTTCAATTTCTTAGTTTTAATTTCTTGTTTTTTAATTTTTAAGTTGAAGAAAAACAGAAAAATCAAAAACAAACGGTGCACTAAGTGATAGAAAGGGAAAATCTGTCTGAGAGTCCACGCTACTAGCGTGGGACTCACGCTAGTAGCGTGGCAGAATCACAAGAGGCATTACTTACCACGCTGAGAGCATGAGTTTGACGCTGACAGCGTGAGAAATTTGTGAAGGAACCATGCCATTAGCGTGGTTGGGACGCTCTCAGCGCCATAAAGCAAAAACAGACAGTGAGTTCCACGCTCCCAGCGTGAGAACCACGCTATCAGTGTTGGAATCCCAGGAAAGTGTCACGCCAACAGCGTTGAAGCCCACGCTGATGGCGCCATCAAGTGGAAAGAGGCAGTAAGGTCCGCGCGCACAGCGTGAGATCCACGCTGTGGGCGCGGACTCTAAAATCAGATTTTTTTAAAAATAAACCCTAATTCCCTCCTCCCCCACTCACCTTGTCCCCTTTTCTCTCTCTCTCGAACCCCTGTCTCTCTCTCGAACCCAACCGCCACCACCTCCATTAACCTACACCATCGACCACCACAATACCACTCTTAAACCACCACCACTTCCTTCGCCGGTGACAACCCACACCCCAATTCCAAAACCTCAACCACAAGTTATCACTGTCGACCAATAAGGGAACACGTTTGGGGTTAAATTCTTTGGGATTCCATCAACACCACTGTGCACTAAGGGTTTTTAATTTTCTATTCCACCATGGTTGGAGACAAGGTATGACCTCTTACTCATGATTATGCTTGGACTTGGGTACTGGAGATTTTTGGCCATCTGCATTGTATTCGTGGTGTAGATATAATCACATGGTTGGATATATTGCTTTGATTGTGGAGCAAATTCTGAGTTTCAGCATGCATATCACCGGTCATGCATCGGACCTAGTCAAAACTCGGCCAAACCCGGACAAAATAAGTGACCTGGTTGGGTCATGTATTTTTATATGAAAAAAAAAAACCAAAATAGTTTCATTTGTCAAAATAAAATGTAGAACTCATTTTAATTTTTTTTTGTAATTTTATTTGCTAGTATACTTTTTTACAATGATCTCAAATTTCAGCTTCCAATACTGAAGCAATTTGCGGAACAATAAATTAAGAGAATATGACATGTATCATTTGAATGTAGATGAATTTAAAATTATGAGTTCAATGTCATTGAGAGGTATGCTTATGAGGATTCTGAGTTGCAATTTAATTTGACATAGTAATAGCATGCATTTTAATTTATTTGTGCTTCATGAACTTGTAAAAGTGTGATTAGATAATTTTTGTGCTTATTAAGTGAACCTTGTTTAACTCATTTTAAATATTAAGTGAACCTTGTTTAACTCATTTTAAATATAGGGAATATAATTAAATTTATAAGTTCATATTTATATATGTTATATATATCCGGGTAAACCGGTTCGATCAATGACCCAGTACCCCGACCGGATTGATGCACGGGTTGGGTTTAATAACACTGATTTTAAAGTCTGTCCAAATCCAGTGATATTCAATCATGATTTTAAACAAAGGAAAAATAATATCGTTGTATTAAAAAATATGATGATTTTAGTGAATTTTCTATTGGTGTGGATTTCGCGAGACTTTTTAGTGTAAGTATAAATAGGATGTCTCTCTCACAATCTTACCCTAACCCCTATGATTTCTTGAGATTTCTGTATTGCAGTGCTTCTTCCTTTGGCAGATCAACTCGCTCAAAACCTGATTCCGCCATAGGAGTTTCGTCAAAGCTCAAAAATAGTATATTTTTTAGCGATTTTCATCACAAAATAACCAAGAAACTACAACCCAATAAGATTCTAATCTAACCCATCTCAAAAATATCAAATTTTTTAGCCATTTTTGATAGCATTTGAAAGTTTAAAAAATGATTTTTCAAGTTATAGTCGCAATTTTTTTTGACACAAAAAGTATAATATTTGTATTAAAAACAACATAAAACAGTGAAAAAATAATAGAGGAAAAAAAACCCAGACCAATTTTCCTTTTACATCAATAAAACGAGATCAATTTAAAAAAAGATTGAAACTTTTATAATATAAACCCTATGTTTCGTAACAATACATTAATAAACGAAATTCATTCGCTATAAGAAACAATTACAAACAATTTTTGTGTCACTAGATCACTAAAAACCTATTTTTCAAAAGTCCAAAAGCAATTTAAGGTTCAATGTATCGATGAAAATAAATTGAGAAATTTCACTAAACTTTTATGCAAATTTTGAATTATTTTAATAAATAAAAAAATTATGGATCTTATAATCATATATGCATAGCTCTAATAGAAAATGAAGAAGATAATTTTCAACCCATTGGTCAAAGCAAAGAGCAAGAACAAGAAGATGCTATTGCGTGGAAGGCTAGTATAAATATGTGGAGAGTTGCTGCTTAGTAGGACATCAAGTTACATCAAATTAATGATTGAGAAAGTTATATTAGGTTTTACTTTTTTTATCTATATTATTGCTTTTCTTTGTTATTTTTTTTACTCTTTTAATTTTGAATATTTATTAAAAATTCATATGATTTTTTAAAATTTTATAAATCCATATTGCCCTTTTAAGTCTTATAAATTCTATTAAAATCCTTTAAAATTCAATCTTATGAAATCTTGATTGTAAAAAAAGTCTTTAACAAATTTTTAAAGTCACTATAATTCTAGATTATCTTTTAAAAACGATAAATAAAATTATTTTAAAATAATCTTTTAAAATCATAATCTATTATATCCCTTTATTTTCACTCTGAAAGTTGTAGGGCTGGGTTAAAAATCTTAAAGATAATTTTTCTGTTCAATCGGACCTGCCAAAAAAGACCGAGTGTGAGTGAAAGGCCCAAAAGAGGCCCTTTTAAGTTTTAAGCATATAGTAACGAACGACGGTTGGAGTAGCAGCGACAAGGTTTTTTCTTGTTAGCATGACATCAAGCAGTGTTTCGGTTCCACTTTCAGTTACTACAGTTGGGGCAAACCCAACAACAACGTTATTGTTATTAGCGAAATGTTCAACATTGTCACAAGTGCGTCAAATTCACGCCCACATCATCAAAACAAACCTCGTCACTCACGCATTCTGTGTCGCCAAACTCATCAACGCTTTTTCTCGGAGTTGTAATCCCTACGAAGCCGTTTCCGTTTATACCCACTTGCTCTCTTGCTTCCAAGACCTGCGGGGAATCGAGTTGTCTGTTCCCTCTGCTCTCAGAGCTTGTGGCAGATCGTGTGCATTCGAGGAGGGGAAGCAAATTATGGGTTTCGTCTTGAAAACCCATTTGTGGCGCGACCCGTTTGTCTCCAACTCCGTGGTTCGAATGTGGTTGGAGGTTGGTGAGATTGTGCTTGCAAGATCGGTGTTTGATAAAATGCCTGTGAGAGACTTGATCTCTTGGAACTCCTTAATTACTGGTTACTTGAGGGCCGGTGAGATTGAGATGGCACGTGAGGCTTTTGAGGAAATGCCTCAAAGGGACGTGGTTTCGTGTAATGCCATGATTGATGGGTATGGGAAGCATGGGAAGTGCGAGCTTGCTGAGGAGGTTTTTATGTCCATGAGTGTCAAGGATGTGGTTACTTGGACTAGTATGATTTCAGCTTTTGTTCTTAATCATCGCCCAGGGAAAGGGTTAGATTTGTTCAGAGAAATGTTGAGTTTAGGGGTTAGACCGGATGCCCCTGCTATTGTTAGTGTCCTTTCAGCCATTGCTAACCTGGGTTTTGTTGAGGAAGGAAAATGGTTACACACTTACATATATAATAATAAGATAGAACGAAGTTGTAGTTTCATTGGATCAGCACTCATAAACATGTATGCAAAATGTGGCCAAATAGATAATGCCTACAACGTATTTAGAAGCATTTGTCACCGGCGAAATGTTGGCGATTGGAATTCCATGATCTCTGGACTTGGTTTACATGGACTGGGTCATGAAGCTATCAAGGTTTTCCTGGACTTGGAAAGGGCAGAACTTAAGCCAGATGATATCACTTTCTTAGGGCTATTAAGTGCTTGCAACCATGGAGGCCTTATGGATGAGGGTCAATTTTATTTTGAAACTATGCAGGTAAAGTACAAGATAGCTCCTAAAATTCAGCACTATGGATGCATTATTGACCTTCTTGGCAGAGCAGGTCGCTTAGAAGAGGCACTTGGGGTTATACATGATATGCCTTTGGAGCCTGATGTTTTAATTTGGAAGGCCATTCTTAGTGCCAGCATGAAGCACAATAACGTTGTAATGGGGCACAATGCTGCATTGCGAGCTATAGAATTGGCACCAGAAGATTCAAGTTGTTATGTTCTTCTCTCAAATATCTATGCCAAAGCAGGAAGGTGGGATGACGTGACTAAATTTAGATCATTGATGAAAAAAAGGGGAGTAAGAAAAGTTCCTGGATGTAGCTCCATTCTCGTGGATGGTATAGTCCACGAATTCCTCGTGGGGAAGGTCATGGATGTGGGGTACAACCAACACGTTCTGTCCAAGTTAGAGGAGGTTGTGTCTAAGTTGAAGTCGGAGGGATATGAACCTGATCTCAATCAAGTTTTTCTAGATATTGAAGACCATGAAAAAGAGAGCCATCTAACTCTTCATAGTGAGAAGATGGCTCTTGCCTTTGGACTGTCGACTATCCCACAAGGCATTCCCATTCATATAGTGAAAAATTTAAGAATTTGTTGTGATTGTCACACATTCATGCAGATGGTTTCAAAAATCTACAACCGGCGAATTATTGTCAGAGATCAAAACCGTTTTCATCATTTTGATAAGGGTTGCTGTTCCTGCAGAAATCATTGGTAACTTTGCCATGTTGTGGTATCATGATGAGTTCATTATTACCTAGGAAAATACCATGTACCATAATGATGTCTTGACAAGGACCAAAAATGGTCGACTAGAGCTTGCATTTGTTTGGGTTCAGTTGACACATTTAACAGGATGGTTATGTAATTTTCGAGTACCAACTACGAAGTCACGCCGTAAAAGAGTATATACCGTTTTAAGCATTTATTATAAGAGAAAAGTATATACCGTAAAAGAATATATTTTCATTTATATCCCACATAAATACAAAGGAACCACTGAATTTTTGTGCTCCTAGAGCACAAAAACTTTTCTCTTATTATAAATTGGGAGTGGTTAAGCATTCCACTAACATCTTATCTAAAATAAAATCCAAGGATGAGACCTTAACGCATGAAAGTTTGCGTTCACTAGTCAATATGTCAGCAAATCAACTAGTGACAGAGCTTAATTTAAATGTGATATGTCTGTTCCTCACTCCCCCAAACTTCAAATCTTTCGCAATCTTTCCATGGACGAGACTAGTTCTGTCTATGCCATCAAACATTTAAGTTGGTCTTTTAAATATCATATTGTCATTCTATTGTTTTAAAAATATATGCAATTAAATTAATTGTTAAAAATTTAAAATATCACGTATTTGTCTTAATACAGAAATGAAAGTAGTGTTACAAAAGAACGAATTTATTAATTTTTTTGTATTTTAAGAGACTAATTTAATAACAAATATTTTTTAGGAAACTAATACGATAACACTATAATATTAGAAGAATAATTTAAAAGTTTACTCGTTGAAGTATGTCCAAATGAGTAGATAATTTTGAAAAAGTAAAAGCACTTCAAACATGCATATGTATGGAACAGTGACCATTTTGTCATTGTTCTCAATTTTTTTTACCTATATGTCACGCCAACAGTGTTATTTCTCAAACTGCCACATGGGTAGTTCGCTGGGCAAATAAGCGAACTCTGATTGGTGATGTGTCACGTTCCTGGTGGTGCACAAGTTTGCTACCTGAAGTAGCGAACTATGTTGCAATAAATGCTGACACATTCGAGAAGTTCGCTACCACATGCAGCGAACTAGGTGTGCCACGTGTCTGACATGCACCAAGCTTGCTGAAGGTCCAAGCGAACAAGGTGCCACGTGGCACAATAAAACACAGAAAATGAAAAAAAATGGCAATTTAATTAATGTGCCAATCAAAATTAATGTGCCAATTAGCATTCACAATTAATGTGTCAATCACAATTAGCGTACAAATAGGATTAACTTTTGATTGTATCAATCACAATTAATGTACCAATCACCAATCACTTCGAAGGGCCATAACTTTTGATTCGGATATCCAAATCAGATATTTTTTATTTTATTTCATATAACTTTTCGAGATCTACCCAATGACACCTCATTTGACATATTTTATCTCTCACAAACATCGTTTGAATTTGTAACAATGATATCACAAACAATTAATGTACCAATCAAAATTAATTGTGATTTACACATGAATTGTAATTGGTGATTGGTACATTAATTGTGATCAAAATTAATTGTAATTGGTGATTGATATATTAATTGTGATTGGTGATTGGTACATTAATTGTGATTAATCCATTAATACAATTAATTGTCATTTTCCTTCTTTTTCTGTTTTTTTATTGTGATTGAAACATTAATATTGATCGGGCATCAGATTGTGCCACCTAGCACACCAAGTTCGCTATCCCTGGGAGCAGTGTTATTAAACCCGGCCCGGGCATCGACCCGGTCGAGGTACTGGGTCATCGGGTCATTGGTCGGACCAGTGGGTCACTGGTCGGACCGATTGACCCGGATATATATAGATATATAAAAATATATATAATTATGAACATATAAATTCAATTATATTCATATTTAAAATGAATTAAACAAGATTCATTAAATAAGCTAAAAAACATGAAGCATAAATAAATAAAAATACATGCTATTGCTCTGTCAATTTAAATTGCAACTCAAAATCCTCCTAAACATACCTCTTAATGACATTGAACTCATATTTTTCAAATTCTACTACATTAAAAATGACATATGTCACAATCTCTTAATTTATTATTCCATAAATTGCTTCAGTGTTGGAAGCTGAAATTTGAGGTCGTTGTAGAAGAGTATACTAGCAAATAAGATTACAAAAAAAAATTAAAATGAGTTCTACATTTTTTTTGACAAAAACAATTTTGGTTTTTTATTTTATTTTTAAATGCATGACCCGACCGGGTCGCTGGGTCACCGGGTTTGGCCGATTTTGTCCGGGTTTTGACTGGGTTTGACCGGGTCGATGCATGACCGGTCCAATGCTTGACCCGGACCAGTCCGATGACAAGGTCACCGGGTTCCGGGTCGGGCCGGGTTTTACAACACTGCCTGGTAGCGAACTTCGTCCAGTCAGCTTTTCCTACAAAAGTGTGCCACGTGTCACGAAATCATTGGCTTCCAAGTTCGCTACCAGTCGTAGCGAACTTGGACACGTGGTAGTCAACTTTTTCTGCGAAAATGTGCCACGTGTAACGAAATCATTGGCTACCAAGTTCGCTGAGCACTGTAGCGAACTTGCTCGCGTGGCATATTGAGAAAAAACACTGTTCGCGTGTCATTTAGGTAAAAAAGTCAGTGAACAGTGGTATTTTGGTCACTGTTCCCATATGTATAGGTTAAACTGTAACTCCGTGTGAGAATAAGGAGCTTATTTTAGCGTTATTTTTCTTTCTTTTTGAAGAAAAAAGGAATGGACGACGTGAAACCGTGACCAAAATATCATTTTTTGACAAAATTTTTATATAAATACCATGCGAACACTTTTTACCAGAGGCGGAATTCGCTACGACTGGTAGCAAATTACGTTCGTCAATAATTTTATGACACGTGACACACTTTTGCAGAAAAAAAACTAACGTGTCATAATTCGGTATCACTGGAAGTGAATTTGTCTGCAATATGGACACGTGTTATAAAATCATTGGCCACGAAATTCGCTACCAGTAATAACGAACTATGACACGTGGCAGTCTGATAATAAATAATATTTGCCTGACATTTGCCTAGAAAATTTAGCAAAAAATGACCTTTGATCACTGTTCGACGGAGGCACTTACAGGAATACTAATCAAATTATTGGTAGTTGGGAAAATTAAATGCATAATATTGCTAAGATTTATTGTTCTGCAAAATTATTGAATGGACCACTGTCTTGATTTAATTAGCTTACAAATTTACCATCCTTTCTTTAGCTACGCGACAAATTACATTCCTTCTTACTGGTTCGGTCGTTCACTGAAAGTAAGGCAGATGTTTACGATAAATTTTTGGACGGGGACAAACTCAACAACTCACCTTTACACACAACCAATCACAAGATGACAACTCATTAAATATTAATGCCAACTCAGCACTTTAAATATAACTCGACCAAATAATTGAATAATGAATAAAATCTTTTTAGATCCCTAACAAAAAAAATACACTCCTTATTTTTATTTCTTATAAAAAAAATATCTATTTTAGTCATTTTTGATGGATTAAATTTGGTCTTCATTGAATTTATGAGAGATCATGTATTCAAAGACTTGGTATTGTAGAAGAACTAAAAATTAATTTTTTTTATAAGAGACGAAAATGATGATCATATTTTTTGTTAGAAAAAAAAAAAAAAAGAGAGGCTAATTTGTAGTTTGAGCTTTGTAAGTGACAATCATGCTCAGATATCATATGGATATTACCTCTGTATGTGAGTGACATTTTGGTAGTGCGTAAGCTATTTGAAAGAGAAGAAACAGCACTTGTTTGAGGTTAAGGTTCATATTATCAACAACAGTTGCTGGGACTCCTTTACTTGCTGCAGGTGGGTTTTCATCCTTCATTATTTTACACTAGTTTATATTAAGTTTCCCAATTTGATACGTTTGAGTTTGGTTCGTATAAATATTAGTTATTAACCATGATTTGTGAAAATTTATATTGAACTTCACTTTTCATTTGGTAATTCCGCCGCTGCCGCTTTGATCTGCTTTCAGACACATTTCTATTAAAATATTTTGAGATGAGGTTCGTTGGTCGGCACGTGGCACGCTTGTCGCCTGATAAATTATAAAGAATGAAAATCTTCAAGCTTCTAACATGTTTGGTAGACATTATTTTAGATAATTTTTTATAGTCTTTTTTTAGTACTAAAATTATATTTATATTTTATTTAATAAACCATAAATATCTTACGCAAGAGACAATGATGTTTGATGTTTGAATCGGAACATTTATATTGTAGTAACTAACTCTTTCGAAAAATCTCATTTTCAAAAATAAAAACTCTTCCGACAAATCTTGAAATCAAGACCTTACTTAAGTTAAATTAAATATATATTACTTGAACCAACTCCAAGATAACAGGTAAAATAATAAGGATTTACATTCATCATTTAACATAACAAGAAAAAGTTTTCTACACACGCAACATTTTATGGGTTCCACATTTTTTTAAACAAAAAAAAAAATTCTCGGCACGTAAAACGAATCTCGATAACATAACACAATCATTTTTCCTACACCATAACTTTTATAAAACCCAAAATAATATTAGTAAACTGAAAAAAATTGTTGACCGTCTGGCTGGCATTTTATTTTATTTTCTTAATATTATTTTGGTAATTCATTTTAATGTGCCTAACCTTTAATAATTGGAGTTCGGGTGAATGAAAAAAATGGGTTTGATAGAATGTAACTTTTCCATTCTGTTTAGTTTTCGTGGATTTGACGAAGAAAATGTAATTGATTGAATCATCAAATTTTGTATCACAACAAAGGCTCTAGAAAACTGAAGGTTACGGGTGCAAACAGGATTTTTCTTTTTCCATGTAACTCTGTATAAAAAATTTGTTGTTGAGCACATTGGTTGTATGTGCAACTAATGTGGAGTTTATAAGGTCTTGAGCACTCCTACCCTTTAAACTAGCTTTTGAGGTGGTGTATCCCAAAGTTGTTTAATATTTGTCTAGGAGGGACTATGTAATTTACTTTGGCCTCTTCGGTTATGGTGCAGCACACAACGTAACATCCACCGAGTTTTCCTTTAATAGTAAGCACACTGATTGCCCTTACTTTGTCCTTGTTCCACGTTTTGTGGCTCCCTTGTTCTGTGGTTCAGTCCTTCACTTCTCAGTCCTCTCTCTCTCTCTCTCTTACTTTGTCTTCTTCTTCTTCTTCTTATCGTCTCAACCTCTCATTCTATCTCTTTCTGTATCCCAAAAGGTGGTTTGGCTTTTATTCGCGGTTGCAGTTTCATAGCTTCGGCAATAAAGGTATACTCTCATTGTTTATAGTTCTGAAATTAACAAATATATTATATGAAGTTATTAATGTACTCTTTACTAGTTGGTTATGTTATGTCTTTGGGTTGAGTTTTGGTTTTATATAATTATAGAGTCTCACTCATCAAGCGGTCATGTTCTATCTCACCACCCTTTTCCAATAAAATAAAAGCTTAGATCCTTAAAAAGGGGCATGTGCGTGAGTGATTTTGTTACAAATATAAAATATAAAATTATTAATATCATCTTTAATTAACAACTTAAACTTTCCGGTTCAATTGGTGCTTTATATGAATGAGAGAGGTTGAGTTTGTGTTTATGTTCACATCAAATTTTAAGTCACTTGAAATTTCCCCAGGTGGGAGCTCATTTCAACTTAAATCATAGATTACATTACGATATTAGCTCAACCTTTTTAGGACTTCGGAGTATTAAATTTCATTTTCCAAAATTGTCTGCACAAAAGAAAGAAAGAACCACTTATGGTTTGTTCATGTATGAATTTCTTGATATGGTTGATATCTGAACCGAAGAATCCAAATTTGTTACACATGTTCTTCCTAATAATTTCCGTTGTCCATGTTTTTTGATTGGAATAAAAATTCATTTTCAGAGGTTGCTCCGAAAGCAGTTTGATAGTCTTATAAATAATCGAATAAAAGTTTGGTAAGGAACCAATTCAACCCAAAAACTTAAGTAGTTGGGTGAGGTTATATTAATGATTTTATATATCTAACACGCCCTCTCACACAAGAGTCCACTGGACTTGAAGGATGGACGATGTACATGTCCACCTACCTACCTGTGCGAAGAAAGAAATTTCACTAGAAAGAAAGTGGGGACTGTGAAGATCGAACTCGTTACACTGAGGGCTCTGATACTATGTAAAGAACCAATTCAACTCAAAAGATTAAGCTATTGGATGAGGCTACATTAATGATTTTATATATCTCAAAAACTTATTTTCATTAATAATTTCAGTTGTTGAAGCAATGAATGATTGAGAATGTAGTACTTTTATGTCCATCTACTGTAGATGAAATATATACTCTGGTTGATGTATTTTTCTTCTGTCATTCATTGTTTAAAATTTAAATTAGTAAAGTGGCAAACGTTCTTGACTTTCAGATTGATTGTGTTAATACAAAAAAGCAGTAAAAAAATTTCTTCTTTTAAATGTTTTTACATGGTTATCTTGTTGATGACACGATATTGATAGTGCAGTCTCTTTTCAGCAATGGTTAATCCAATAGCAGTGGCAATGATGGTGATTCTCATAGGTTGGGTTTATAAAACCTTAAAGCCCCCTCCTCCTAAAATATGTGGATCAGTAGGTGGTCCACCAGTAACATCACCTAGAGTTAAACTCAGTGATGGCAGGCATTTGGCCTACCGTGAGTATGGTGTTCCTAAGGAAGAAGCTAGGTACAAGATCATTGTCATTCATGGATATGGCAGTTCCAAAGATGCAATTTTGCCAGTCTCTCAAGTATGAACTTGTTCTTCTTTCCTTTCTTTTAGTTTCCTGTCTGATTTAACTATGGGAAAACATTTTCTCGTGTTGCATGAGAATTCAATTCTCATGTGGTGACCATTTGATTTGCGTGCAAAGCTTTTTTTTTTTTTAATAAATGTGGGATCCACCACTAGTTGAGTCATAACATGAGAACTCTCATGCAACATGAGAAAATCAAAACCCTTTAACTATATACCATTAGTAATTCTTGCCAAGAAATGGAAAAGAAAATAAAAAATTGGATTTGTTTATATGTAGGAACTTATTGAAGATCTTGGGATATATTTCCTCCACTTCGACAGAGCAGGTTATGGTGAAAGTGATCCAAATCCATCACGTTCAGTAAAGAGTGAAGCATATGATATTGAAGAACTAGCTGATAAAGTGAATATAGGGAATAAATTTTATATCATTGGAATATCATTGGGAGGTTACTCTGTTTGGAGCTGCCTAAAATACATTCCACATAGGCATGTTAATTGCTGACTTGTAGCTTCATTTTGGTTTCAATGTTTTCTATTGTTGCTCTTAATTATATATACAACATCCTTTTGCAGATTATCAGGAGCAGCTTTGGTGGTTCCATTTATAAGCTATTGGTGGCCTTCTTTTCCAGCTAATCTATCAACAGAGGCCCTTCGGATGCTACCTCTGTCAGACCAATGGACATTTCGAGTTGCACATTACGCCCCTTGGTTATTCTATTGGTGGATGACTCAAAAATGGTTCCCTACATTAACCATGACAAGTATTGGAATGTCTCATGATGATATAGAGATCATGAAGAGCTTGTCAGACGCACCAAACACTGGCCAGGTAGCTATATATTTGTCATTTATATTTAAAGAGGAAAACAGTTAAGATTACACATGAAATGCTCTTGTTTTGGTAGTTCTTGGAAACTGTATGTCTTGATTTTAGTTATTCATTCACATATCAACAGTTTTTTTCATTGAAATTATAACCTGTGATCTATGAATGAATGACTGAGATATTCCACGTGACATGGTTAAGTTAAAAAAAGATATGAGAGTATCGATTTGTTGTTATTAATAATACTATTTGTTTTAACGTTTAGGAGAAGATAGCTCAGCAAGGTGAATATGAATCATTACACCGAGACATGATGGTTGGTTTTGGAAAGTGGGAATTTGGCCCAACAGACATAACAAATCCATTCCCTAACAATGATGGTTCTGTCCACATTTGGCAAGGCTTTGAAGATAGGATCATTCCCTATACGGTGAACCGTTACATCTCACACAAACTACCCTGGATTCATTATCACGAGATTGCTGATGGAGGGCATCTATTTATCAGAAAGAAAAATCACTGTGAATCAATTATTAGAGCACTTCTACTCTCATAAGATCTTTAATGAGATGTAGTGTGTGGAGTAAACCATCATTGGTCTATATAGTCCTGTGTTGTAAGTCAATGAGATTGCAAGTAAATTTTGTAAGAAGTTGCAGTATATTTTTAAATATATTTAATGTAAGAGTTGTATACCACGACGATGATGGTTTTGCTTTTAGAAAATAAATACTATTTTCACATCATAAATTTTATACCATTCCAACATATATAAACACATATTGCAGTTATCATTTCTATGTAAACGAATACGGACACCCATCGACTCTTATCAACTTAATGAGGATAGAGGGAAAGGATAAGAGGAAAACTCAAAATATGACTTTATGTTCATTTGGGTCATAGATAAGAACGAATGTGAGCTAAAAAAGTAGGTGTGAGCTCCTTTTCTTTTTATTGATTTTGGTTGTTGAGAAAAGAAGTTCAAAGTGTTATAACTCCTCCCTGATTATAAGGGAATCTTTCGACATGATGTGTCACATTAGAGGTGGACAAAATATGCTCGGGCTATATAATGTCGACTGCATTTTTAATACCACAGGAGCATCCAGGATAATTACTACTGCCATTCAAAATGAGACACCTGTGTTTAATAAGATAGTGCTAGTGAAATAAATCTTTGGTGCTACTGCTGCACTTAGATTCAGTGCATCCCATCAATGGAAGCATTACACATCAGAGGAGAGAGAAAAAATTTAACAGAAAAAAAATAATTATTGCTGACATGTAATATTTTTATTGATGGGATGCACTGAATCTTTAGTACAACAGTAGTACCAAACATTTATTCGTGCTAGTGACTATCTCTACTTTTCTCTCTCCTCTTCACTGACATGTTATCATGTTAGCGTTGATATTTGATTTTTACTGGAGATATGTATGGAAAAGTGGGTGCCTAGATATTTCCATATAATGTCATCAACTACCATCCATAAATAAATATGGTTTATTTTCACATCTTAACAATCAGAAGTGTCTAATGGTTTGAATGGCAGGTATTGAACAGTGTACTTATACACTATAAATTGATAGTGTATTTTAAAAGTGGTCAGTAATGTGAAGATAAACAACTTCTTGTTTCTCTAGTGTCTAGTCCCATTATGCTTACAGTAGCAGCATCTGTGTTGATAGCAAGCATTCTGATTTATGCATATCAGAGAACGAAACCTCCTCCACCAAAAATTACCGGGACACCAACAGGTCCTCCTGTTACTTCACCAAGAATTAGACTCAGTGATGGTAGACATTTGGCTTATAGGGAGAAAGGCGTGCCTAAAGAAAATTCCAGATACAAGGTCATCCTTGTCCATGGCTATGACAGCTCCAAGGATTTATATTTGCCACTTTCTCAAGTAAGAACTCTACACAACATATTGCTTCATCCACCTGTTTTTTTACTTTTAACATGACTTATATCAATCTACTCATTAAATGGCTTATCATGTTTGCATACATACTTGTCTTAGGAAGAGGAAGTCAGCCAAAGAATTTAATGTGATGATACCGTTATTTTTTTTAAAATAAATTTAGAAAATTTTTCCACATCATAATATCCGTCCATAATTGTAATGAAATTAGGTGATATGGTGGTTTTACAGGAAGTAATGGATGAGCTAGGTTTGTATGTTGTGACATTTGACAGAGCTGGATATGGAGAAAGTGTACCTAACCCAAAACGCAATGTGAAAAGTGAAGCATTTGATATCCAAGAACTTGCTGACCAGTTGCAGCTAGGCCCAAAATTTCATGTCATTGGACTCTCCATTGGAACTCACGCAGTTTGGGCCTGCCTCAAATACATACCACACAGGCATTCTATATGAAATTCCATTTTCATTGAGTTCTTATTATATTTTAGGGAAAAATGTTTTTATTATTATTTTAGATAAAATTTCTCTGCCACGTTCATATAAAAGTGAGTGAGTTCCATTGTAAAAAAAAAAAAAAAGAATGTAAAAAATCAATTCAACCCAAAAGCTGTTAAGTGAAGGTCCATCAACGGTTTATATATTTCTTTAACATGTCTTCTCACAAGAGAGTCCACTGGACATGAATGGTAGATAATGCACGGCCTGTGCTAAGAAATTCCACAAGAGAAAATGGGGGCGGAGAGAATCAAACCTGTGACACCGAGGCTCTGATATCATGTAAAGAACTAATTCAACCTAAAAGATTAAGCTCTTAAGTAAAGGTTCATCAATGCTTTATATACTTCTCTAACAGAGAGAAAAAATTAGTATGACCGACTCACTTTTATATGAGTGTGACAGAAAAAAAAAATTATAGTAAAAACAGAAACATTAAACTCTATATTTTATTATTTCAAATCAAACTTGTTTAGAGCTTTGGTTACAGGTTATCTGGTGTCACACTAGTAGTTCCAGTGATCAATTACTGGTGGCCTTCTTTTCCTCCAAAATTGGCCAACGAGGTATTTGAGAAGCAACTTAGAAGGGAGCAATGGAAACTGCGGATTGCACACTATGCACCTGGACTGTTATATTGGTGGATGACACAGAAGTTGTTCCCTAATGATTCTGTAATGGAGATATTATTTAACAAACGGGATGTGGAAACCATAAAGCAAATGTCACAAGTGCCTATGCCCAACGAGGTTCAAGTTCCATTTCAAATTCTTATTATATGCTTTAGCAAGTAATTTCAAATTTTTTTTACCATATGTTACTGGGAGCAAGTTATATTTACAAATTTTTTTGTTTACAAACTACACTAAGTACGACCGGTCATACTTTAATCATGCAGTGTACAACCGGTCGTACTTAGTGTAATTTGTAAACGGATCATATCCCATGTTATTGATAGTAATATTATTAACATTGAAAAATGAAATCAAGCTAAAAACAGAAATTTGTCACAAATTTTTTTGTTTTGGGATTGTAGTATGAGATACGGCAGCAAGGTGAATATGAATCCCTACACCGAGATCTAATAGTGCATTTTGGCAACTGGGAATTTGACCCTATGGAGCTAAAAAGTCCATTCCCCCAAAATGAGGGGTGTGTCTACCTTTGGCAGGGTCATGAAGACAAGCTTGTACCATATGAACTACAACGTTACCTTGCCAAGCAACTACCTTGGATACGGTACCATGAAGTTCCTGATGGCGGCCATCTAATGATTCATGAAAAATGTTTTTGTGAAGCTATTTTCAGAGAACTTTCGCATGGAGAAGAACCAACAATCAAATAGGCCTGGTTATGCCTAGCACAGTCTCATCTCTCTCAGACATGATGAAAATGTGCCAATGGGGCAGCATGTTTGCTGTAATGAAAGTAATAGAGTCACAGGGCTCAATCAATAATCATCTACATTCTGACCACTGCTTGTGAGTTATGGCTTACATGTATTAATATAAAATCCATGAACTTTATCTCTTTGTATCAAAATAAAATGCACTCTATCGTTGGCTTCGCAATGCATTCGGAGATGTTTTGAGTTATTGGCTTGTGGCCTTGCAAACAAAATGACATGTTTCTTTTGTGTGATAATCAACAACAGCAACATGATGACATTGGCACTCTGTCATTATGAAACTTTCACCTATAATTTTCTTACATTCTCCATGCAGTTTCTATTAAAAATTTAACATGACTATCTTTCCAATGTTTTTCATTGGCCTAAGCTGTCAAGGTTGCCAGATATATATATTTCGCAACCTATTCATGTAAATAAGTTGGGACAAGTCGGACTTTAATCTAAAATGGTTAAGTTTGTGTAAAATATTTCAACCGTGACTTGGTTTATTAACCTAATACAAACTAAATTATAGGCTTAATGTGGCTTGTTTATTAGGTGTGGTTTGGCATCTATCTGGTATTGAAAAATGGCATATTGTACTTTGTATTATAAGTGATGACTACTTTTTTCTTTTGTATATTTAAGTTAAGGGATTTGCATTTGTCATTTAACATGACACAACAAACTTTCTTACACACACAATATTTTGTGGGGCCTACACTTTTTGAAGAAAAAAGAAAAAAAGAAAATTATGGCACACAAAACGAATCTCTATAACATTACACAATCACTTTTCCTACAACATAACTCTTATAAAACCCTTAGGTTGATGGAGCCATAACCCAAAATATTAACAACTTGATTGTGTTGCCGGAAATTAAAAATAAAATAATGGAAAAATGAGAAATGTTTAATTAAATTTCAAAACAAATAAACATATTTACTCATGGGAAGGGTTATATTTACAAACTTTTTTTTTACAAACTACATTATGTACTCCCGGAAGAACACTAGGTTACACTATGTTCTCCCGAGAGTACATAGTATAATTTGCAAAAATTTATAAAAAAAGTTTGTAAACAGATCGTTCCCCTTTACTCATTAATGCATTATATATTGCCACTCAACAAAAAAATAATATTGCAGCCGCATATTCTTTGTGGGATCTATTTATCTCATGTTGCATGATATAATTATCTCATGCAACAATATAGTGAGGTCCACAACTTTTAAAAAAGAAAAATAAAAAAAATAATAGACCCCATTACTTTGTCTATGTTGCATCAGATAATTATCTCATGCAACATGAGATAATTATTTTCCATTCTTTAAAGGGTTTTATTAATCTCACGTTAAATGAGATAAATTATCTCATGTCATGGAGATAAACTTGTGGGCTCCACCACCTGAAAAAAAAAAAGGTGGCACAGTTATTGAAGAGTGTGTAGGAAATAAATTTATCACATGTAGCATAAGAGTAGTTTTTCCATTCTTTAAATTAGATCAAAGATAATAGGCCCCGGCAAACAATTCGACCTATTTACACTAGCTCAATTATTTCAGCCTAATCAGCTACTTTTTTTTGGGCTGGCGCAGCCCGTATCAATTTATTACATGTCCAGTTTCATTTTTGTTAGAACTCTCAAAATACAGTTCAATTTTCTATTTAAAAAAAAAAAAAATTGCAGTTCAATCTATCAACTTTTTTAATTAAATAAGCCAGTCCCCCATTTTGTCACAGTCCGGGTGGCCCAATTTGAATGTCATTGGGAATTGGTGACTTGTGCTTGTTTCATTTTCGAATTAAAGATTGGCCCATTGTGGCCTGCACGTTTCCAAAAGTATGCACCACACAAGCGTACCAAAAAGTATGCAGGGCCCAAATAAAAAATGAGTCCCATCCGTTTTGAAGAATATATAATGAATTTGCTTGATATAAGATTATTTATTAGACTTCATCCAATCATTTAAACTTTTAAGGCAATTGGCCATCGACATAGAATTAAAGAGCCTAGTCCTTTTAAATGCAAAATAATTTGTTAAGAGGTAATGCATTGAAAAAAGTACCCAAACAATAATAGACATATGCTTTTTGTAAAGAAGTAAGGGTGCATTTGGTTTGGTTGAGGAGAAAATTTATGGATAATAAGGAAATGTTATTATTAGATAAATGGTTGGGAATTGAGTTTGGTAGGAAAATGTAAAAAGAGTTGTTTGATTGGAAAAAAAATTACCGAAAAAATTAGGTAAATTTTATAAAGTCTACGTTTGGTTTTAGGTAAAATATAGATGGAAAAAAAATTGCTATTACAAAAATAATCCTGTTTTTAAAAAAAATTCACTTTCACGCGCTCTAGTAAGGGTACCCTCGTCATCTTATTATTGCCCAATGTGACCATTTAGGTAGACAACCCACAATACCACATCTCAAGTGAGAATATATGGTCATCTATCTTGGTCCAATAGACATGCAAATTGGTAAGCTGAAATACTGATTTAGGTAGGCAAATATTGGAAACGGTTCAACCAAACAAGGTCACCCTACAATCCCACTTCTCCAATGCCTATCATCTCATCAGATTCCTCCAACCAAACACACCCTAAGAACTTTCGAATATATTTATCTCGTATTTGAACCCTTCACCCTTGCACATTTTGGTTCGAAAGAGCAAGTGTGTTAAGCAACCAAATGAGTCTGATCAAGGACAATATAAGGTGCTATGAATTTACAAGCAGTGATTTATGATGTCCGCGTGCTGCTACACACAAGTCCAACTTGACACATGTGGTGGTTCCTGAATTTTACAATAACCTTATCGAGATTTCTTGTACCAAAAGTAGGTAAAATTAGTATTTTAGGGTATCATGATTTATAACGTGTTGGAGCTGCTATCCTTGTTCGGGAAGAAAAGAGAAAAAAAAAAAAAAATCTATCGCTTTAGGGACAATTAGTGTTTCTTGAAACTATGTGACTGATTATAAGATAGTAGTCTATGTCTAATGCACGTAACTACATCTCTCCTCTAAAAGAAGAATGTCCGATATTCGATTCCCACTTCCATCATCAATAAAACAAGATTTGTCTAACATTCACATCTCTTCCGATGAAATTTGCTTACAAAAGTTTTTGGACTTTCGCTAAATTCGTATTTTGATGGCGAATCGGAATATTTTTGAAATTAATGTTCCTACTTTACAAGTTAAAACATCGAATGCGAAATAAATGGTAGTAGCTCAGTTGGCGCATAGGAGCTAGCAGGTGGGGATGAGAGTATGTGTTCGAATCTTCCCAATATCACATTTGGAAAGGGTTTAAAGCCTTAATCCTGGACCCGCCCCGAATCGGATTAATTGCGAAGCAATGAACCGATTGAAATATTTCAAAAAAATAAAATAATGTTTACCAAAAAAAAATAAAAAAAAATCGAATGCGAAGCTTAAGTTAACTAGTTCACTTCATTAAGAAAAACTCTTATTGTATAAAAAAACAAATAATTTCTTATGTAATCTATATCTATATTTAGAGCTTCTTCTTTTTAAAACATGTACCATTAAAGAAGTATTACTCCAATTATGACATTAAAAATAGGAAAAAGTGTTTGTCATTTTAAATGACATAAAATTATGTCATTTTAAGAGAGAGATAGACACAAAATAATATTTTTTATTTAAAATTTAAATTAAAAAAACCACACACGTTTTCCCCCATTACTTTCATTTTTTGTGTCTATCTCTCTCTCAAAATGATATAATTTATGTCATTTAAAATGACAAACATCAAACCCTAAAAAATATAGTTAAAATAAAAAACAACAATAACCCACATTAATATAAGGAAAATAGAAGTATAATGTTGTAGGAAAGTGTCGAGGTTATGTTATAGAGATAGAGATTGTGGGACCCGCACTTTTTTATTTTTTTGGTTTTTAAAAACAAGTGTGGATCCCACAATTTCTATTTCTATAACATAACCTAAAGACTTTCCTACAACATTATACTTCTTTTTTCCTTAATATAATTAAGATGTTACACACTAAGTAGTATATAGTGTTTTTATTCTTCGAGAGCGCCTAAAATATGACAATTTTTTCTTATCAAAATTTTAAAACTAACTATATATTCAAGATTATGAGCTCGGGGTTGTTGAATCATAATATGTATCATATATCGTATAGTTAATTTTTTTATGTCATGTATATGGAATTAAATCCAAATATAATTTAAAATAAGTATCAAATCATAATAAAAAATAATTAAAAAATATATAATATAATTAATATCATATAAATTCAAATTTCAAAAAAGATCCAATAAACAAAATACATAAATAATTAAAATGCAAACCAATTATTCTTCTACTCATCAATCATTAAGACTAATATTATCACTACTATCACTATCAACATTTATCATTGATATAACTAATCCATCATCCTCTTCCAAAAAGGATTTAGCTTTTAGGTTTTTTTTAACTTAAATCACAAATTAAATCTTTATTTTTTTTATATTAAATATTTCAAATTTTAATTTAATTTTTGTCTCATATGATACACGTATAATATCATATCGTAAGATACAGTATCATATTGTTCGATACAAATTCCTTTTTCACACACTTCACAATACGTATTGCTGGGCTCAGTGGCGGACCGACGTGGGGTCAAATGACCGCACTTGCGGACACAGAAATTTCAATTTCAATTTCAATTTTTTATTTATTTACTTTCTCTCTCACTCATTTTATTCAGTCGAACATATCGTAGAGCTGTGAGTCGGCGCAGGAGCGACTTGTTCACATTCTGATCCATTGATTTATTTGTTGATAAAGTTGGCATTCGTTCTACCGGTAACAACTGCTAGTGTTGAACGAGTTTTTTCTGCAATGACTTTTGTTAAGGATAAGTTGCGCACTCATTCTGGCTTAAAAAGAGAGGATTGATTGCAGATGTGACATTTTCAAATAAGTTAATCTCTAGATATGAGAGCTTTCCTTTCTGTACAGGTAATGTTGACTTTTTTATTCACCATTATAAATAGAATGATGATGTATGAATGTACTGAAGTTTATTCTCATATTTGTTTTGGAGGATCGGTAACATTTAGGGGATGATTGGTCAAACTATTGTCTGCAGCTTGTTATGGAAGCAACTAGATTATGAGCGAGTTCATAACCTTGTACAAAAAACATTAATTTAAACTTTCTTTACAAAAAAAAATTTGGGGACGCTGCCCCAAACCCCGTCACTAAATGTGCGGACATAAACATAATATCCTGGATCCGCCACTGGCTGGACTTGTAAATCATACTGTATTATATGAATAGTATATTATATCACAAGATACTTATAACTATGCTTATAATTAAATTAGAATAACAGCAATTTACAGCTAACTTATTAATGTCAACCTTTGACTGTGGATGAGCAAAGGTTACAAGCTACAGCTAAAGTTTGTCTTTTTTAAGAAGTTTATGTGCTTGTCATCAAATGATTTGGGCATACATTATTCTCTATAAGCAAATGGCGCAGAGAGTTAGTTTTGAAACACTCTTGGTTGAGGGAGTCGGAAGCAATCAATCCAATTGAATCACAAACACATGACACAAACATTGAATGTGTGACGCAAAATTAATTTTATAATAGTTCATTATACAATTTGGGACATTAAATATAGGAGTATGTATTTTCATATTTGAGGAGAAGAAAATCTTAGACACAAAATCAAAGTGGGGTTCATTGCATAAAGGAGAGAAAAAGAAAAAAAAAACACAAATCAAAACCCACTTTGATTTTGTGTCTGCAGGAGAAAATTCTTTGTAGACACACATGTGGTGGACCTTATTATTTACAAAAGAAAAAAAAAATGTCACAATTTTTGATGAATTAAGAAATAAAATTACTCTTATGTTGCATAGAGTAGTTTTTCCCTTAAATATATTACTAGAATATGTAAAAGCTCCTTGTTTTCAGATGTGATATACAAGTTTTAAAGAAAAAATGGCCTTATGGCCTACTACAAGAAGCAGCTGAAATACAAACAACAAAAATAGTTATGCAATAATGCAAACACCAAATGTTCTAACAAAATTGACAGTGAAATCCGGCAAAAAAAACTTCAAAGAATATTCTTAATATATCTGGGTATAAACCCAGAAACTGTGATGTCATTGTGGGCCTGAGAGCAATGGTGACCGCGAAAATTTTCATGATCTGCTGCTCAAACGGGCCTATGAAACACAATAATTGTTAATTAAAAAAAAAGGGAGAAGGGTTTCTAAAACCTTACGTAAATTAGAAATGCTGTAATGTAATTCTCTACTTGTATAATTTAAGTATCCTTCGATAAACGTGTTAGAATTAGAATGAGATGAAATATACTACATGTTAATATATTGAGGAAAAACTTAAACCTATACAATTCTAAATTACACTTAAATATTTCCAAAAATTAAAATTAAAATTAAAACTATGTTATGTGAGAGTAAAATACATGTGCTGAACCTAATAAAAAAAAAAGTTACATGTGCTGAACAATATGTAAAAAAGATTTTAATAGAAAGCAACTTAAGGCCCCTATCTGTCAAAGCACATGAAGTGTGTTAGCAACTACCAATAGATAAAGAGAAAAGATGCCTCCCTAATGGAACCTTTTAAGGGATATCCTCAAGGGAGATAATTTGAGAAAGTCCAAAAAAACACACAAACCCTCGATGTTTTTTTTTCATTTTTAAGGAGGAAGTAGCCAAATTCCGCTCCCCATTCCATTCATGTTCATAAAAAGTCTATCTAAGATCTACAAAGTCAAGAGCAGATGAAAAGATTCATACATCATCTTAGGCTGTTGACTAAATTCCCACAAGATCAGACACGGAAAATCTGCAGATGTTTCTGTCAGGCAAGTAGTTCCCTTGGTTTTTGAATATCTATGCTAGATCTACCCTTTATTCCTTAATGGATTTTCTGTGAATGTTTTATCAGGGGACTCAACTTTCTCCGAATCAAAATGACCCAGATGATTTTCCTGTGGTTTCACCAAGAATCACACTCAGAGATGGGAGGCACCTGGCTTACATTGAGAGAGGTGTCCCCAAGGACACAGCAAAATACAAGATTATCATTGTGCACGGCTTTGGAAGCTCCAAAGAGATGAACTTTTTGGCACCCCAAGTAATTTCTTGGATCTCTCTTCCCTAAATACTGGACTTGTTCTGTTTTGGATTTAGATTTAGATTTAGATTTAATTACCACAGTACCCTAGAAACAATAACTGTACTAGGTTTCCTTTCAATAGAGAAAATTTGATAGTTAAGAAATGAAATAGGTTCAAATTGCTCAGGATATTATGCACAAATCAGAAGGGTTTGTAGTTTGCTGATAAAATACTTGCACACAAAAAAGAGGTGTCTATTAGTATTCCTTTTTAGCATTATTTTGTTTTTCTGAAAGTACATGGGTTCAAATCCAGAAAACAGTCTCTTTGCAATTATGCAAGGGTAAGGCTGCGTACAAGGATTGCCTCTCCACCCCACACTCGCTAGTCGGGTTTAATGGGGAGTGGTTTTTTTTTTTCAAGTAAGTTGTTGTGGGTTCTGATTTTTGAAGCATTTTTTCAATACATCTCACTTAAACAAGCATGGAATTGAGAGATGAAATAAGATATGATTTTACACTGAATATACAGGAATTAATAGATGAACTGGGTATATATCTTCTGCAATATGACCGAGCTGGATATGGAGAAAGTGATCCAAACCCCAAACGCTCACTGAAAAGTGAAGCACTTGACATTCAAGAGCTTGCTGATCAGCTACAGGTAGGACAACAATTTTATGTGATTGGAGTGTCAATGGGTTCATACGCTACCTGGAGTTGTCTGAAGTATTTGCCCCACAGGTAATTACTGTTAAAATTGATTTTAAATTAATAATGGTTATGAATAAGAAATTGGTAAAGGGGTGTGTCTTGCCGAATGGACATTCTTTTCTGCCTGTGAACAAACATGATTATCTGTTGTGATCGTCTTTGTTCTATAAATTTGGAGAATTAGATAACATCCCATAACCGAAATTTTTCCCTCCTTGTACATACTTTTATTCCTTGCGATTGTTCTGCCTTTTGGTACTCGTCGATGCTCTTTAAGTGTGCAGTGCTGCCGATCGAAAGAGGTATATTATTCTATGCTAGGAGACAATTGTCCATATGCCTTGGCACAATTGAGGGGGACAAATTGTCTTAAGAAGACAAGAGTATACATGGGCTTGGATTCTTCCCTTTGATTTCAATCTTGAGTTCATATATTTATGTCTGGTATGCTTTAACTTCATGTTATTACATGTTTTAATCTTCTGCATGCATTTCATTTTGTTGCATGTGTTGTTGAAACAATTTATTGAATGCATTTTATACTATCCTGACCACAAAATGTGTATCCTCAAGTTTTCCCTTTTAGCTCAGTTTTTAAGTAAAAGTAAATTGGAATTATTTATTTTCTTGGAACATTAGTTTTAAGCTTAATTGTTGATGGCATGTTCTTGGGTCTCAATGAAAACCTATAAAGTTTGAAACACTAAGGCTTCCTCTAAGGTTTACATCACTCCTTGTTCACAACTCTTGATGGGGCAAGCTGTGAAGCTACGAGAATAGATCCTCTCATGTGTGATTTAACATGATAAGGTCATATGAGAGAACCTTATCCGTATAGACAAGTCAACAATGATGAGAGATGAAAGGGAAAAAGTGTTCTGAGAGGGAGTGACAAAAAGATAACCGTTGATTTGTCCATGAATGATTGAGATTGACTCACATCAGTGGCGGAGCTAAGGGCTAGGGTGGGCGGTGGGCCCCCAAGCTCATACAATTTTTTGTAAATTTTACATTTTGGAATATCAAAGAAGTCAAATTTGAGAGGGTCCCCCCCCACCCCTTCCTTTCCTCTTGGAAGATGTTTGGCTCTGCCATTTTCTGTCCACTTGGAAGATGTTTGGCTCCGCCATTTTCTCACAGGCATGGTTATGTTAAATAACACGAGTTGATTCATTCTCGTGGAGTGACAGTTTCTACTTGTACATGAATGCATAGGGCTTGTAGCCATAAATATTAATCCTGGTCTCCTTTTCATTATGAACCTATGGATTAGGCTTATATTATTATCTACACTAATCAATGTTACAAGTATCCAGCTTGAGTAGAAGGATCACTCAATTAAGTGGGCTTATATAATGATACCCTTATAAATCATAATTTAGCCCCTTTTTTTATTTAAACAGGACAAATACAATTGGTAGCAGGCCACAAGAATTTTAAGAACGTTATGTTAAGAACTTAATCTTAAGTTCACAAAAAGACCATTTGTACAGGCTTGCAGGGTTGGCGCTGATAGCCCCAGTCATCAATTACCGGTGGCCTTCCTTCCCTGGGAGTCTGATAAGCGAGGACTATAGAAGGAAACTTGTGCATTGGTCAATGTGGCTTGCAAATCACTGTCCTAAACTATTGCATTGGTGGGTGACTCAAAAGTGGCTCCCTTCAGCTGCTGTCATAGAAAAGAACCCAGCATTCTTCAACAAAAGTGATATAGACATTCTAAAGACAATTCCCGGGTTCTCAATGCTTACCAAGGTAAATTACATTTTTTATGTGAGTATGTTTCCTCTTATGTAAGTAATTGTGACCATGGTATGTTCCAACTTACAGGACAGTTTAAGGGAACAGGTAGTGTTCGACACTCTTCGCCATGACTGGAGGGTGGCTTTTGGCAAATGGGAATTCGACCCAATGAAGTTAAGTAATCCATTCCCTCATAGTAGATGTTCGTTTCATATTTGGCAGGGCTATGAAGATAAGGTTGTGCCCTCTCAACTCCAGAGGTTTGTTTCAGCGAAGCTGCCATGGATAAAGTACCATGAAGTTCCAGATGGTGGCCATTTAATTGTATACTATAGGGGGTTGTGCGAGGCCATTTTGAGGGCACTTTTACTTGGACAAGAAAATCTTGCATATAAACCTAAACCACCATTATTTGAATCTTAATTTGCCATGATTTCGTATGTTTGTTGTTAGCATTTTTTTAGGAGAATGTCAATTGTATAAATTACATTTGTTGGGTGATAAAAAGAGAGTAAATTGTCATGTATGTAAATTACATTCAGTCCTCTGTTCTTGGAATCGTACGAAGACTTTTACTTGAAGTATTTGTCCTCGGAAAGTTTTTTTATTTTGACTAACATAACACTCTGAAAAAAATAGATTATGAAGAAGATAGATTATTGTGACCTGTTATAACGCTAGAAATGGAATTAGCATATTGAGCCCGACATAAAAAAAATATACTTGCAAAAATATTTAATTAAGATTAGGGTAATTTGCAATACAACAATGAGTAAATAATAGAATATATAACAAGCAGGACGTGACAACATATAAAATTAATATTTATTCAAATGATAAATATGAGAAATCCTTAAATCCCAATTCAATTTGTATATGTAACTTAATTTAATATTGTACCAAAATATTATGATGAAGAAATATAACAAGAAGGTTGGAAGGTAAACTTTCAATTTAGATCAATTCATATAAATAAATTATCAATAATTTGATAAAATAATATATGCATTTAAGTGGAGTATGCTTAGACAAAACTAAACATATCAATCCTAGGACGCCTGTAAATGTAGTGTGATCACAATACTAGGTTCACGGATTAAAAATATAATTGTGACAATTTCAAACTCACCTACACAAAATTCCCCTCTATGAATAAATCATGTCACGTGGCGCAATCTAGTTGGCTGTGGCAATTTTTTGATTTAATACAACAAAGAAAAAGAAAAAAAAGTGAGGGTGGCGGCGACATTATCCACCCCCAATGAGAAATATTTTCCCCATCACCCTAGATAGATTTATTTTGAGTCAAATGACCCCTATATGTTCAACCAGATAGATAATGTAGATAAAAGTGTATTGATGTGGGAGAAAGTAATGCATTACTTCTAGTTAAAATAATCATAAAATTTAACCCCCAAGGGTAGCTCAGTTGGCAGCTGAGCTCCCAAGGGATTGCTTGGTGCAGGGATCAAACTCTGCCTCAAGCAGTTTCTTGGAAAATCTTTGGGGGCCAGAGGTTAAGTCAAAAAAATTTCGGTTGGGGGATTAGTCTCGTCCTTTCTTTGGCTGCGAGGCTTAGTACACCCACTGTTACAATGAGGGGCTAGCTCAAACGGGCAGTACCCCAAGGGCATGGTGCCCGGAGAAGGTTGAATGAGGATACCTCCCGGCAATGTACCAAAAAAAAATATAATAAAAATAATCATAAAATTTGACAACTATTTAACGTAGGGATATGATTATTTTACACGGATGTCTCACACTTTATCTTAATCGACGATCTATTTGTATCTAATTGATTCTAATTTATTAGTCATCTAAATTATTATCCCTTAAATATAACTAGACTTGAGTCAATTTCAATTCAAACCATTTAAGATGGTTAATAATTGGGGGTTTCTATTTTAACATATTGTGTTCAGTGTAAAGAACCTTACCAACGCGGGTTGGCTCAAGTGGTAAGGTACTTGGGTTCGCTTAAGCAAGAAGAACCTTACCAACGCGGGTTGGCTCAAGTGGTAAGGTACTTGGGTTCGCTTAAGCAAGGACTCGAGTTCGAGACCTTGTGCATACAGAAAATCCTCGCTGGGAGACTCACCTGCTGATGCTAGGTAACCTACCCGGGTCGGACTGGACATAGTCGGGGCGAAGCCCCGGAAACCAGTGGAGCAATCCAAAAAAAAAAAAAACCTTGGGATATATCATCTCAAAAGCTAGCTCAAAGGGTGGGAGTGTCCAAGGTCTTATAAGGGTCACATTAGTTGCCCATACAATCAATGCGAGACTATATATCTCAACACGCCCCCTCACAGGAGATCCCATTGGGCTTGAAGCGTGGATTATGCACAGACCCAATTTTTTGGTTTACCTTTTTGTGCTTTTTATTTTAATTCCACTTTAAAGTGGGGGCGGTGAGGATCGAACTTGTGACACTCAAGCTCTGATACCATGTAAAGAACCTTGGGATACACCACCTCAAAAGCTAGCTCAAAGGGTGGGAGTGCCCAAGGCCTTATAAGGGTCACATTAGTTGCCCATACAATCAATGTGGGACTATATATCTCAACATTCAGTAATGTAATAAGGATAATTTGATGATTTAGTTAACTAAAATTCAAATCACATAAATAAATGTGTCAAATGATCAGCGGATTAATTGATTACAAATGGGTTAACAAAAATTATGATTATATATAAATTTGGTGTATCTTTAGAAAATTGGATAAAAAAAGTTAAAATTAAATTTTGCATTATAGTGAATTTTTTTATTCCTAATTTTAGAAGAATATCAAACTTTCAATAATTAGTTTCGTAATACAAACAAGTTTTTACTTTTAAGTTTGTTGTTAATCAAACATGGAAATCCATAAACAGAACAAGTAACTCCACGGTTGGTTATAATTTATGCACGAATTTATGGGCATGACAAAGAAAGTAAATACGTAAACCCTTTGGCCAAGCACACAGTTACGACGGTGGAACTGCCAGAAAAGTCTTGGCATGTGGCACAAAACGTGTCAATAAAAACTCAAAACTGAATAAAGAAAAAGACCACACCCTCAGATTAAAACAAAAGTTCAATTAAGATGGCATCAATGGCAGTTAAAGTTTCTGTCTCTTTACAGTGTCTCAGTCCTCCCCTTCTCTTTCTCCTCTCTTCCTAATAGTCCCAAATTTTTTTCATCTAGAGTTGGTGTTACCTTTCTGCATTTCTCTCTGATATCTCTCTAATTCCAAATCTTTCTTTATTTCAAAGTTCAGATTCTCTCTTGATGTTTGTATTCAGGTACCATACATAATCTATTCTTTTTTTTCCTTCCTTTGCTTTATTTTTTTTCGCCCTCTCTTTGGAGTTCATTATATGATTTTGTTTCTCTTTCTTCCCTTAATCTGATTCTTTCATGTTTGCATGTTGCATGCAACTGGTTAGTTGGTGATGAGGTGATATGATTCATACTATCCTGGTGGCATCGATTACATCATTTTAATTAATTGATAAATGATGATACCTGTCCAGAGTTTAAGTTTTTGTTCTAGTTTTTAATTTTCATAATTAATTGCTTATCTTTCAAAATCAGACATCTGATTATTTTCTCTCTTTTCTTTGGGGTGGTGCAGGATTTGTTTCAAATCAAGTTATTGATGCAGTTCAATTTCTTTAAATCTGAGAATCCCAAGAATTTGCTTTGTCTTTTTTATTTTTCTTGCAATAAATAATGGTGATTAATTCTAAAGCAAAAACTGTTGCTTATGACAAATGTCCCAAGAATTAGCACCTTCATCCGCACCCATGGCTCTACAACAATCAGAGCAAGATGTGCCAATGCAAGAATCAGAATCTACATTTTCTCAATTGAGCAAACAAAACTCAATACTTTCACTTACCCTTGATGAGTTCAAATGCAAGAGTGGAAAGAGTTTTGGGTCCATGAACATGGATGAATTCTTGTCAAGCATTTGGAACTCCGATGATAACCAAGTTAATCCACTACAAGCCCAAAATGAAACTCCTCAGAGTAGAAGTGTTGCTACAGAACCCACCATTTCCCATCATGGCTTATTCTCTGTCTCTCCTCCAATTTGCAAGAAAACTGTGGATGAAGTATGGTCTGAGATCCATAAAGACCAACCACAAAAGAATGAAGCTAATAATAACCTTGGCAGGAATGAGAAACTCAAAAGGCAACAAACACTTGGAGAGATGACTTTGGAGGATTTCCTAATAAAAGCTGGGGTGGTACAAGAATCATCATTATCATTCAAGTCTTCACCTCAACCAATGCCATTTCAGAATCAGATTGGTAATATTGCAATTAATACACCATTGAGTGCATGTTATGAATTGAGGCCTTCAATGGGGACCCAACATAATGTAGTGTCACAGAATAAAAGTTCAGTAAAGGATGCCACTACAAGTTGTGCTGTAGAGAAATGTCAAGAGTCAAGTAGGAGTAGTAATAGAAAGAGGATAATTGATGGTCCTCCTGAAGTGGTAGTGGAGAGAAGGCAACGCAGAATGTTGAAGAATCGAGAATCAGCAGCACGTTCCCGAGCTAGAAGACAGGTTTTGTGCTCATCATAATCTACTCTTTGTTATATATTAATCATGTAATTTGGAGTATGCTTCAGTGCTTCACATTCTATCTAGTCAATTTTTGTTCATTTATATGATATCTTATTTACATGAGTTGTGGGGAGAAAAAAAAAATTCCACAAGTCTGTAACATTGGCATATGTTTTTTTAGATACCATTTAACTAATTACCATACATAACTTCTAGTGCAGGCATATACGGTAGAGCTAGAAGCAGAGCTGAATCTGCTAAAAGAAGAGAACGACAAACTAAAACAAATTCTGGTAGACAATATTGAAATAAAAGATTCATTTTGTTATTTTCCTTTTACTTTTTTTTTGTGATTTATGTTTTCTGATGTTTAACACACTTTGTGTTTATTTAAATCTGCAATAGGCTGAAGCTGAGAGCAAGAGAAAACAAGAGGTCAGTGAATGTCTCAAATATAAGTTGTTCTTGGTATATGCAGGGTTATTAATTTAACATCACTGTGTATTTATCATGTTTTGATACAGCTTTTGCAGAGAAAGCATTCAACAAAGGCTCAAAGGAGGGTAGAAAAATTGAGGTCAATGAAGAGGCCTATAAGCGCAGCCTGGTGAATAAGCATCAACGACAAGGATTACAAAAAATTTAGCATATACATGTGAAGAAAATAATGTGTGTACTCTACTCTCTAATATAAACCTCAACCTTCTATTCAAATGTTCTCCCTATCCACTCTTCTTGTTCATTTGGAAGAATGGATGATTGAAAAATAAGACATATATATGGTGCTATTATTCTGCTGCATTTACCTAGTTTAGGAATAAATCTTTGGTGCTACTCTTGCACCAAGATTCAATGCATCCCACCAATAGGAGCATTACTCATCATAGGAGAGAAAAAATTTAAATTTGGTAGAAAAAAAAAAACTTTAACTGACATGTAATATTTCTATTGATGAAATGTACTGAATTTTTGATGCAACAGTAGTACCAAAGATTTATTCCTAGTTTAGAAATATTTCAAGGGTTATGAAAATTGAGTATTTTTAAAAATAATTATGTGAATAAGAGGTGTTTCTCTGGGAAATGCTTCAGATAAAGGTCCTATCACAAATTAAGGTTCCATATAATTCTTGTAATTTTCCTAAGTGGATGATTAAGACTAAAATATGAGGCTCGCTGGCCCATTACTCACACACTATTGCCCTGACCCTCCTTTAGGTCAGTTTGTAATCCAATAAATGTCTGGGCTTGTTTGTATTTCTCTTGGGCCGACCGTAAGTTTATCCCACTCTGGCCCGCTACAGTTGTTTAATTGTTTAGTCTGCTCCCCTTTAAAAAACTGAGACATGTTATTTTTAAATTCTTTTTTTAATTTTAAATTAAGAGTATTTTTAATTAATTATACATATTCCTTTATAAATTTATTTCCATATATTTTTATAATTTTGAATATTTTTAATAATTTTTAATTTAATTTTTAAAATAACTTTGAAATTTGAAATATTCATTCAAGGCATAAAATTCTTGTAAATTAATTTTAAAAGTGAACTTGGAAAATATTTTTCTCGCTCCGGGAAGCTCGTCTTAACAGAATAATATGCTTATATATAGAACAAAACTGTTTTTAACTAGTTATCAACTTTTTATTTGACAACGTTAATGAAAAATGGGTATCAGTGTATCACTACTGTTGTCTTAGAATTTGATCCTTTTTTATTGGCTCTCGTGTCGAATCTGCTTCTGCATATGGTTAGCTAAGCTAGGTAAACTGAGGTAGCAAGACGTGCCTCGCCCGCCAAATAGAGTGAATTTTTTTATTTTATTTTTGATATAAATCGAGAGCCTAGCCCAGAAAACATACAAAGACCTGCCGTTTATGAAGTTTTGTCTGGTTGAATTTTTTAATATTTTTTAGTGTAAACAATCATGAGCTTGGCGGCAGCCTGTCGCATTCATCCAAACAGAGCGGGACAAATTGAGTTTTCTAACCCATCTTCAAAGGCGGGGCATGGCGGGTAGCCCGTTTTGCCACCTCTATAAATAATCTATATTTCACTAATGAATGCCATAAAAGTTTATGGGATTCTGGATAGTCCACATGCATAGGCTCACTACTGGGTCCAATCTAAAAGGCCCACTTCTAAAAGGTATCATAGGATGCCCCCTCTTTCCCATGCACATTGCTGTCCCTGCACACTGGCAGGGGTTCAGCATGCCTAGCATGAAAATGCTAGGTTGGCTGGAGCTCTTACTCTAAATACCACTCTCACATTGAGGACAAGAGACCTCTTCTCCTCCATTCAGCTTCATGCGTTGCTACTATGGAGAGCAATCCTAGCCATTCTCACACACCCACCCTTTGTGCACACCATGAGAATTTTCACTAGTGCTTTGGTCTCTACCATTGCCACTATGAGCACCCCCTAGCAAATTATATATTTCGAGAAATACATAGTTATAATATTAAAAGTTTTTTTCCTTATATTATAATTACATTTTACCCGGAGTACATAGTCAACGGCGGAGCTACTTTGTTGCCAGCTGGTGCCTTGGCACCAGCTCTTTTTCCGGAAGTTGTATTTAGTAGTTGATTTTTTTTGGTGCCTTATGCAGATAACCATACAACATTGATACATTGGCACCTGCAAAAAATAAAACACCACTTTAGTGTGTACTGGTGTAAAAAAATTTTACTCCGTAAGTTGCTTCTTGTCTTTTTATATATATATATATATAATTTTATTTTTCTATTTACAAAAGTAATAATAAAAAAAGAAAAAGATTATGAGAAGGTACCATTGACTCATTGAGCCTTGCTCCAGCTAGCCTGTTCCATCAACATCAGTCCACTCAATCAGTATTAAACAAAAAGCAAAAATAGAAGAAAAATAGAGTTCTAAATATTTTGTCTTGCTCCAGCTAGCCTCTTCCTAGCATGAAGTGAATTTGGTCTTGAAACTTTGAGACTGATTTTGAATCTGAAGTATATTAGCAAAGGTTACCAGAAAGGTTAGTGGTTTTTTATTTATTTGCTTTGATATATAATCATTGGCTATTGTTTGTTTGAATTTTCAATTTTATGTGACATTATTTATTAAATAATTTATATAAGTGTTTTATAATTTATAGTAAAAAAATTTCTGATAAATTATGATAAATATTTTGATAATTTAATATGTCAAATTTTTTGGCACTACCTAAAACTTGTCGCTGGCTCCGCCACTGTACATAGTGTTGGATTTTTCCTCTTTCAATGTTGCACAAGGCCGAATGTTATTTTTGTGGAGACAAGAAATTCTAATTCTCACTTTTGATATTCTAGAATCTTCCGTCCTCTCCTATATAAGCTTGTGTTATATGAGAGGCTAGGGTTAGATAATTTTGAGTGCATCTTTGGGAGAAGCTTGAGTGTAAGACTTCCTTAGAGAAGATTGAGAGAATATCGTGAGATTTGAGTGTACCACCATTATTGGTTAAGTTTGACATCTTGTACCATTATTTTCATAGTAAAAGTTTGATTCTGAATTAGTGTCTCATAATTAAGTTTTTTCTTTTTCACATTGGAATTTTTTTTTCCATGTTGAGAATATGATGTGTTCATCTCTCTGTCTCTCTCCTTTTTCTTATCTATTTATGATGCGCTGACCGATCACCTGGTGTTATAGGCCCACCTTTGATTGCCGAGTTTCGAGCTCATCGTTTGACTTGTGACATGCTTCTGTGCCGAGTTTAGAGAACTGAGTTCCTAACACATAATTTGTAGGAGAATTTTAAATTTCTGGAACATGAGAAAAAATGGACCCAAAGTTTATATCAATATCCTTAATGAAAATAAATAAATAAAGTTAGAAGTTTATAGTATGTGACAAAACTATGGTCAATCAAACTGATCACCCAGAGTTGGCTACACGGCTAAGCTAAGTTCATCTTCCTATCCATGTGGATAGCAGTCAAAGGGATCATTTAATTCTATTTTCATTTTTAGCTCTCACAGTAACAATCAGAAAACCGATTTTATTGTTTCCAAAAAAGAAAAGAAAAAACCGATTTTAATCACAGAAAACAAGGCAACTAAAGATTTATTCTAGACTCAAAAATCTTTTAAATATTACTATGGAAAGGGCTTTCGTTTTATTATTTCATACTGTCAGTTAATTACTTTAATGCAGTACGTCCTCATTCTAAATATCATGCACTAAAGTAATAATAAAACCAGTATTTTTCTGCATTAAATAATTTTGACTCATAAATAATGTAGAGACTTATGTTATTTATGAATCATATGATATGGTTGATTTTAAAAATATTACAAACATTTATTGTAATTAAAGTAAAAAACTATAATAATAACGTTTTTAAAAGTCAAGTTTGTTCACTGCAATATCAAGATTGGAGGGTTTATTTATGAAGCACGCCGATAACGACCCATGCCGCTATCTCCTAATAGTTTAATTCCAATAGCTCATAATGGATCCAAAAGTAATAGCGATTAGAGAAAGCCTAAAAAAAAGCCCAACTAATAATAGTCTAATACCATGTAAACAAATAAGTTATTGTGATGGATCCAGCAATGCAAGCAAAGAAATAGATTAGCCAATCATTTTGTACAGCATGTCTCATACAATTTCCATTACTACACCCAATTGGAGGTTGTTGAGAATTCTTAATGAATGAATATGAGGCTACCTGCTAATTCAATGTGACGTGGTTAATAAACAATAGAATCTTAGCCGTGACAATGCACTCTCTAAAGGGTTTTGATAAGTAGTTGCAATATAAATATTAAAAAATTATCATTAAGTTAAATCATAATGAACTGAATTGTCAATGATATAAAGAAATCATTCTCGTTTCTTGAACCTGCACGTAGCTGATAGTTTATGATTGAATTGGTTATTTGACGAGTTCTCCATGAGTTTCAGGTCAATGCACATATATAATTATATGTTGAACGTCGCATCTGCATGCGCGCCTAGCTATACCGTACCATTCACAAGTATATAATAACATGCATCTCCATTGATTTGTGTAATGTGTAGTCCTACAACGCATGGAAACATGCAGAAATAGAGAGTATTTACTTTCCAGCAATTGATCATTTTTGCATAGTGCATATACACACACACACGAGACAGGCTATGCCTACAATTAGAGAATATTGTAGATACAAGATGTATTACGCCATGCATATGTGAGCGCTAAATTAATGTTTCTCAAACCCCCTGAATAAATTGTGTCTCTCACACTTTTTTTTTTTTTTTAAACATCGAAGAATTGAATACATAACCTATTACATAACTACTTACATCTCTTACTGTTAGGATAAGATCACCCTTGATCTTAGCCTTTAGTTTGTAACAACAATTTGTTTCCCAGTCTGTAGGTCCATTTGTTAAACACAATCATATCGTTAGTTTTGTTTGTTATTATTGCTGCTCATCTGTTTGTAACAGTATCATGTATTTATTGGCTTCAAGCCCTCATTAATCACACAACAGTTTTCCAATATTCATTTACATTTCATACGTTTCTATATGGTATCGGATTAAACAGCGACGATCCAACCAAACCTCTAAATGGCCGCCACCCATCTGCCGCGGAAGACACTTCCA